GCGGCCCTGGCGGCCCTTGACTTTGCCGCTGCCCCGGGCTATTTTGGCCGGGCGCCCTGGGTGCCCTGGGTGCCCAGTGCCCAGGCCTCGGGGCGCGGCCGGGCGGCCCTTAAAGTCCAATCCGGGCTCACGGCGAAGTTGGCGGCACTGTTTCGCTCAAACTGGTTCGTTGTTCGCGCCGTTCGGTCGGCCGGCGGTGTCCAATGGCTGCAGCCGCGCGGAGGGCACTCCTCTCCTTTTTTCGAGACGCGTCATTATCCGCTGATTCGGTTCAAGGTCAACCAATAGGTCACGGGGGTGTCTTTTACCGCCGCGACGCGACCCCCGCCCCCCACCCCGCACCTCGCGCGGCGAAGGCGGCCGAGTGCGGCGGGGTCTACGGACTCGCCGCGAGGCCCGGCGGGGCCATCCTGTCGTTACCCGAAACACCCGCCGAGTATTTGGACCCGCGGGGAGTAGAAAGAGGCGCCACGGGGGAAATGGGGGAAGGGGTTACTGCGTGAGTGGAAAAGAGACAGCCAGCGGAGTGGCGCCTGCTAACTCTGAGAGGGAGCGAGAGAGAGAGAGAGAGAGAGAGAGAGAGAGAGAGAGAGAGAGAGAGAGAGAGAGAGAGAGAGAGAGAGAGAGAGAGACACAAACAGGCGGCGTGGCGGCCGCGGGTTGAAGTTGGCCTCCCAACTAATTCTACCACAGCCTTGGCTTAATGGGTGTCTGCAAGGAGCCCTGCTGGCCCGCGCCATGCCCGCCGCGCCCGACCAGCGCCGCCGCCACACTCAAAGGCGGGCCGGCACTGAATGATGCTGGATTAGCGGCGAATGTAGGCCGACCCAGAGAGGACGGCTTGTTGGACTCCAGCTGGCTGCGGCGCGGCCTCGACCAAAAACACTCTCAATCGGCGCGCCCATTTTATGCGGGACTGTCCGACCGAGTGGACGGACCACTTTTTTAATGGGCCGCTATAAAGTCGGCCAAACAGTCGCCGTGTGTGTGTGTGTGTCGTTTGTTTTTCTCGTGTGTGTGTGTGGCTGCCGGACTGGCCTAAAATGATTTTCCAGCCACGTCGCCTGGAACCTGGAATCGGTACGCGACACTGGGCCCGCGTGTATTTCTGTCCTTCAAGGCCCTACGGCGCCGCGGGTGGCCGGGCCGGGCAGGGCAGAGGGTGGAGGGCAGAGGGCTCGACTGAAGTGGCACTGGTCCGAACAGGGCCGGAAATAGGGAAACAGGGAGACGTGGCACGAGTACGGCCCGCTCAAGGGACTGATATTCTCCTGCCCCTCACTGCATGCGAGTGGGATGGGTTGGGTGGGGGTCGCTTTCCACTGTACACCGCGCGGGAATAGCGATTGCCCTTTTTTCTACGGTGTAGTGTGCGCGGCCTCGGGCCGGGCTGCCCCGGGCAGGCACCCCGCGCTGCATCCGGCTCTTGAAGCAGCATAGGGGCGCCATTGTCTCAGGGCCAGTGGCTTGCAGGGGCTTGCAGTGGCCCTGCAGTGGCTCAGCCAGCCCATTGTCGATGCCACATTGGAAGAGGTATTCAGGCCTCGGAAGAGTCCCCACACCACAAACCGGGCCTGCAGCCAAGCATGCAGTGCCTGGCAGTCCCTCGGACTTGGGCCAGCTATCCCGAGAATGTGTGCGCCCGCCCGGCGTCGGGGCACCCTGCGTGGCCCCTGGAATGGGGCCCGACCAACGCCCTAAACGACCCTCTCTCTCACTTTCTGATGCAGCGCACAGATTCCATCGCATTTATGCACGAAAACCGGACTGCTTTTCAAGAAACAATTTTCAGAAACTTCCACAACAATGTCCAACGCAAGTTGGTTTACGTCCAGCATTATTTCTGGGGGCAAAATTTTGGCACGGATGGTCTCCGAATTTTTCCCGTAATCATCTTCACCTCGAGAAAGCTCACGGTTGGGAGATGAGGTAGGTGTTGTATCGCGTGGGTGGGGTGAGGACTCCAACTCATGGCATGCCTCGTGGAGAGCGATGGAGACGGAATCAGGGTCTTCCAGGACCTTGCGACGGTAAAGCGTGACCACCCACGCGGAAGGACCTCCGCGAGAGGAACCCTGGAATCCTGGAATCCAGGAATCCTGAGCGCCGGGCAGCCTGGAGCCTGGGAGCGAGGGCCTTCCCCGCAGCGCGGGGTATTGGCGCGCGGCGAGCTGGTGCGGCCACCCTCCACGCGGGGGCGCCACCAGTCCCGGCCGCGCGCTGGAGCCAAGCTGGAGCCGAGCTGGAGCGCAGGACTGGGCTCGCGGGGTAGCTCCGGCCGCACGACGCGCCAAGTCTCATGCACTGTAGATTTGAACCATGCCCACGCTAATGCATCTTGGAAAAAGCGAAAATCTATCCAGGTGTAATTTGGTGGGAACTCGCGATTTCTTGTCTTTCGGAGGGACAGACATCGCAAAATTCTGACGAGATGTCAGTGTAAAATCCGAGACTGCTGTGCTCCGAGTTCGTTCTGCTTGAAGTGACAGCGGCCCAGGGGCCCAAGCCACGAAAGCGCTGGAGAGCCAGTCGTTCCCTTCCGCTGATGCCGTCCAAATATTGGCCCAGCGAAATACCACGCCGTCGGGCCATCATCCCTCTTTGCGTGCTGGTGCGGTGGGCGCGTGGCAGCCTCTGCAACCTCTGCAACCAGATTTTCCAGCAACCCAGTCCGAGGACGCAGCTACCGCATCGCGCTGTGGCTCTCTCGCTCTCTGGACCACTGGGTCATCGGGCCACTGAGCTACTGGGCCGCTAGCTCCGTGGCCGCCGCGAAGGCCCCTGGGCGGCCCGGTGAGCAAGCTGTGCAAGCCGACCAAGCTGCTACCCAGCTGACGGTGGGTTCATTCCATTACTCGATCCGCCGGCCTCTTTGGCTGTTGCTGGCCATGCAGCGCCAGCGGCAACGCGGTGACGGACCCAGTGAGACGTGCAAAACACGGACCGCTCCCAATCCGGATGGAGAGAGAGAGAGAGAGAGAGAGAGAGAGAGAGAGAGAGAGAGAGAGAGAGAGAGAGACGGGGAGACTCCCGGCGGGCTGGGGGCGAGCGAAGAGGTGGGTCTCAGTGGGCGTATTCGAGCACAGCACGGCGCCTCACTGCAACTAGCGCCAGCGCGCTAGCAGGCAGCTCCGGGCTGCGTCCGAGCCAAGGGACCCGCGACTCACACCGCGCTTAGCACCGCGCACGCGCCGGTGTGTGTCCAAAGCCTCCAAAGCGGCGGCCGAGGGGGAGCGTGCCTTTCCCTCCCTCTCTACCTCTCTGTCTCTCTCGTCTCGCAGCGATTTGGCGAGGACGGGTGGCGTGGGTTGGGGCGACCTTTGATCGTTCACACGTTTATTTGCCTGGCCAAAATAGGACACGGCTTGGCTGCCGCTGCCACGGCCAGCCCCACGCCGGATCAGTCTCCATCGGTCCGCAGGCCTACCGCGTCCAACATATTAGTGCGGAAAGCCTTAAAATTTTGCGTTCACTTATCATTTTTGCACGGGAAATGTGACTGAAATAAACCATCGGCACTCCACCTCGTTTCCGTGGCCTTTGCACTTCGTGTTCCCGGCGGTGGGGCTCGGGTGGGGCTCGGCTGGGGCTCGGCCGGGGCTCGGGTGGGCAGTGTGTTGGAAAGAGGAAGAGCGCCACCGGCGTGCGTCCTTAATGCGTCAACATGTTAACGGGAACGCGGCCCTGCAGGCTTAATCCGCCTCTCCGTCTCTCTCCTTCGCACTTGCGCCCGTCCCGCCGGAGTGCGAGAGAGACAGAGCAGCGCGACCGCCCGCTGGGAATGGGTCTACTGCCCGGGGTCGTGCGGCGGACCGGGCGGTGATGGCCAGAGCGAAGGCTCCCAGAGCCTTGAAAGCAGGAAAAGAGGCAGCCCCAGGTGTTGCGCGGAAGCGGGCGCGAATTGTACAGGCAGCACGCTCGATATCCTTTGGCGGCTGCCCAGAGGGCGCCGGGGGGCCCCGCGCCCAGGGTGGCCCAGGGCCGTACACGTGGCTGGCCCGCGCCACTCCAAGGGGGCCCCCCAACAGGAAGGGACACCCCAATGCAGATAAGTCCGAGCGAGACGGTGCCGAGGCCGGGCGACAGCAGACAGCCACAGGCGCTATTGACCGACTCATACGTCTGCCGCAGAGTTGGCCACCTCGGCCTCGTCCCGCCTTGCCGGGCCTTGCCGGGCCTTGCCGGGCCTTGCCGGGCCTTGCCGGGCCTTGCCGGGCCTTGCCGGGCCTTGCCACACACAGGCACACTTCCGGGATCCCCAGCGGACCCATCTCCCGATTGGCACCACGACGGTCACTTTTGCCGCCGTTTTCGTTTTTGTTTTTTGTTGCCCTTTTTTTGCAAGCTACAACTTGTCGCGTGTTTTTCCCGTCACGTCCTCCTCTTCCAGCAGCCGCCGGGGGAGCGGCCGGGGCGGAGGGGTGAGGTGACCTCGAATCACGGGGAGGACGCCGGAAGAAATGGCACAGTGTTTTCCCCTCTCCACTCAAAAATAACCATTCCTTAGAGCAAGTTAAAGGCCAAAACAGACTCACTTTTAAAAATCAATTGAAAGTGCGCAAAAAAAAAAAGGCAACTGCTTTCTCCCTAATTACACGTGAGCCATTTTAATTATTATTGCGCTGGCTGCGCAGCCGGATTTCGTTCAAACTCGGTCTGTTTGTCGACACCCTGCCGCCTGTTTGTGTTTATCGATTGGGTAACTAGTCAAATAGGGCGATGCGCGTCCACTGGCCGCCGGGACACCCGGACCGCCCGCATCGTATGGGCCGCATCGGCCGCCCGTGGCTCTGGGATCTATTTGCAGTGCGTCGAGAAGTCGAAGGGGCCACACTCTACGCCGCAGGCTGCCTCGCTCTGTCTCCCTCGCACTCCCGGGACGTCCCGGAAGGGTGCGTGAGAGACAAGAGCAGGCACCGATCTCCGGGGAAGTGACAGCACTCGGTGCTCTGTGTGTGACTGGTGCGACTCTAACGCCGTCTTTGCTTGTTCTGTTGCAGTGGGTAAGTTGCTGGCGGTCCATGGCAGTGCGGCAGCACGGTGAGTCCGCAACGTCGTTGGCGAGTCTGTCTCGCTCCGCTTTGCTTTCCTTGTCAATCACTCTTCTATTCCGGCTGGTTAGGTTAGGTTAGGTTAGGCTGCGCTGGCCAGCGCAGGCTTTGTGAGTAGTTTCACCTGGCGTGCCACGCCGAGCCGCACGCAGCGCGGCACTTCGCCCCCACCTGAGTCGACAGGCCCGGCCGGTCCGGCGCGGCGAGAGGACACCGGTTTCGTTGGGTGGATGGAGCTGGGTGCAGCGAAGCGAGCGAAGCGGCAACGGCCCGGGCCTTCCTACGTCCGGTCGATGAGTATTTTGAGCCTCAAAGTCGCCGCGCCTGCCTGCCTCTGTGTCGCTGTGTGTGTGTATGTGTGTGTGTGTGTGTCCGTTGAACCATCACCCTCGCAGAGTTGTCGCAGTGGCCTTGTGCCGAAGGGGGGTGGAGGGAGCGCCGTGGCAACAACGCCGTACCGGGGACACCAAATGCACGTACTGCATGCCTGCATATCGAATGCGAACGATTCAGTTGTTTGTCTTTCTCTTTTTGTCTATTTTTTTTTCGAGTGTTGCGGCAGAGTGCAGACTTGTGTGCAGAGGCAGCAGCAGTGTGCTCCGGTGAGATGTAAATGAGAAAAGGAGCGATTTGATTTCGGATTTCCGCCCAGTCTACCGCCCAGTCTACCGCCCCGCCAGTGCAGTTGGCATCCCGGACCGGCGACTCCAGCAGGGACCAGGGAAGGCCTGGCGGCAGCACATGCCCACTGGGACGCAGCCCCGCCTTTTTTCATTCGAATGTCCCCTGCTGGCAAAGATGAAAAGTCAGCCGTATTTTTTGAGGCCGGGCGCGCGGCGGCGGTCTGGGCCTCATATTGGGCCTTGATGTAGTCGCGGTGATATAGCGCGCGGTGCGGATAGTGGAGCCAAAACCTTGCGGCCTACTTCACGGCTTTGTCATCCGCCACTGTGTGCGTCGGTCTGTCTGCCTGACTGTCTGTCTGTTCGTCGAGGTCGCACACACGCAGTCTCAAAGGTGGCGAATTCATCCTCATCGAATTGGTCCTCGTCAAAGCGGAGACGGGCCTCGGATTGGACGGTGCAGCCTGGCTCCGCCTGCTCCTCCTGCTCCACTCCACAGACGTCCCGCCGCCCAATATGTACACCTTTGAGTCAGCGCGCTCACAATGGCAGTGCCGGGGCAGGCTGGAGCGGGCTGGAGCCGGCTGGAGCGGGCTGGAGCGGGCTGGGGCGGGCTGGGGCTGGCTGGGGCCGCGTGCGGTGTTTGCTCAGCGTCCCCAAACACGGCGTCTGCAAGCGCCCGCCCCGCGCCGCCGCGCCGACATTGCGAGACAGTGTGTGTGTCCGAGGGTGCACAGCCCAGAAAGTCGTCCTCGTCGTCGCAGTTGTCCTCGCCTGGCTAGTTTTTCAGTCCAAATCGATCGGCGTGGGAGTCGGCCGAGTCCGCGGCCCGGCGGCGTGGCAGCGTCCAGCGCGTCCGGCGGCACGTCAGTGACTCACCAACTCGCTGCCGAGTTTTTGTTTTCGTTTTTATCGCGAAACGGAGTCGGCCGAAAGCAGCTTGGAGCGAAAAAAGAAGAGAGAAAGGGGCGCTTGGAAGAAAGTGAGCCCGGCTGTACAACACGGTCCATTCTTCTGGGGGCTTAGAGGCTTCACCAAACAATAACATTTGTCTCTTGTCGCCGCCCTGGCTGGTTAGACGTCGACCTTATTATGGCTTCTTGTTGTTTATTTTGCTGTAGTTTCTTTTGGCCTGCCCTGAACTGGAGGGAAGTCTTCGGCCCGATGGTCACACGCACGCTGTGGGACTCTTTGAGGGATTAGTCAGAGCCCTACGCGCCCTGCAGACCGACGCTGTCTCTCTCGCACGCAAACGGACCGCCCTGGTGCGAGAGGGACAGAGCGAAGAAGGTGCTGCTGTTCAAAATCAGCCCACTGTGGCAGGAAGACTGAGCTCGCTGCTGGTTAGTTGGCGGGCTGCTCGACTGACTCGCAAGTCTTATCCGAGCCCCATTGTCCATCATCCGTCCTACTCCTCCCTTCTTCTCAAATCACACGAGCGAGCCCCCTCCCCACTCTCTCTTTCTGCGCCCAGCCCTCTTGAACCGCTGCACACCGGTGGCGGTGGCCCATCGGTGCACCCTTGGGGTGTACGGAGGCCAGCTGGCTGATGCAAAGAGCAGTTTCGTCGGTTTGTCTCTCTCCCACCACACGCATGGGGCGGCTCGGAGGGGTGCGAGAGAGACAGGGCAGCGAGGCACTGACGTCACCGACGACTGCACTCTGCACCGGCCGACCAGATTGCCATCCCAGGAAAGGAGACTGCCTTGGGAACTGCAGCAGCGAAGTCACTCAGGTGAGAACCGGCCATTTTCCGAAAGAATGTGAGTCTGAAGCACTCACTTTAATTTTCAATCTCCAGAATCACCCGGGATGGTCTCTCTCTCTCCGGTATCGCGCACAGGCCCACCTCCTCCTGCCCGTGACTGAGTCGGATTGGCCGGCGAGGACCGCCTCCCGTCCCGGCTTACCTCCCGGCTCGCATGCTGCTTCCGGACGCCGCTCCGTCTCTCTCACGGCCCGCGGAGAACGCATGAAACCGCAGCGGTGCGAGAGAGACGGAGTGGCGGCAGAGCCTGCCACTCGCCGCCCCCTCCGGAGCCTCCAGGAGGAGGAGGGCCTCCAGCGTCTTGTTCTCCATCTTGTCGAAAATAATGCCCGAGTCGAGGGGGAAAGCACTCGCGTAATAGTCGGGTCACTCTGTCCGTAATAGCACGCGTAATAGTGTGCGTAATAGTAGCGTAATAGCTGAAATTCTCGAAATTTGATCTATTTTAGGGGTTTTTTGGTCTGTTTTCAGCTAAATCGCTATATTTGGAGGTGTAATGGAGCGTTATAGGCGTAATAGTCGGGTCGCAGGTTTTAGGAGTGATTTCCCCCTCGGCCCGAGTCTTCCTCCACGTTATTGGCTGAGCCACGCCGCCGGCCACACAATGTGTGCACTGATTGCACACCGGCCTGCCTGTCCGCCCGTCTTGTCCTGAGCGGCGCGGTCCCCCTGGTCCTGGCTGGTCCTGGCCACGAGCGGACGGACTGCGGAGGCGGTGGGGCCTTGGAGTCCGCGGGGGCCTTGCCGCCCCGCCCCGCCCGCCTTAGAAAGGGCCGGGCGGTCTGAAAGGCGAACAAGTCGGGCAACGGGGAAGGAAAAGGCCGCGCCGCCCGCGGCAGCAAGCACAGCGGCAGCAGTCTCCAGGCGGTCCGGTCTAGTCGTGTTGACGGTGTGGGATGCACTGGGCCACGCCGGCCCGGGGGCGGAGGGGGACTTGAGAGTGGCGGTCGGAGTCCCGCGGCCGCCAGGGGCGGAGGGGAGGCACTTTGTTGAAAATTGAAAACGGCATTTTGTAGTGCGTTCGCGTTGATAATGACATGTCGCAGGGCTCGGTCCAGGCGGTCCGCGGTCCGGCAGTGTGCGTCGGCATGAGGGCTTCGGGTCTCCCCTCCCCTTACCGACCCGCCCCAGCCGCTGGAATGCGTCCCCTTGTCGGGCGGACCCTGCGAGCGGAGTGACTGGACTTGCCAGCATGCAAACAAGCAGGAGTGGCGGCCCTCAGCGTAATGCGTGGCTTGGCCAGGCCGAGGCGCGACCACTCACAGCGCCGCTTTAGCATTTTTGGAGTGTTTGCAGCGGGCGGGCCGGCGAGCCGCGCGGGTGTGGGACCCACACTGTGGGTCTGCCGCCAGCAGCCGCCAGCGCCAACAACACTCGCAGCCACTCCGTTTGTGTCTGCTTCGCACCTTACCACTCTTCCCGCGCTTTTCCCGGAGCGCCGCCGCGCCTCGGGCAGAAAGTGAAACGTGAAAGTGAAAACTGAAACTGGTCTTCCATACATTTGTGTTTTGAATTACTTTTTCAAAACTGATTTTCGTTGTAGTTTTTGACTTTTACTGACCCATAAAAATATTCAAAGGACATTTCTTGGTACTTTTGGACATATCGTTGGCTCCTCAAACAAGCCCCGCTGGTCTCTTCAAGAGTTGCTTTGGCCTGGGCAACGGTATTGGTTGGCGCCCCGTGCTCTGTGTCCTTACTTCGAGGCAAATAAACGTCTGTTTCGTGGAACTGGAACGAAGGGCGGATTGAAACCCACACGGCGCGGCGGCGCGGCGGCCTGATTGGAAGCCAGTATCAGATGGCATTGGCGGGGTGCGGGGCGCGGGGGGCGGGGGGCGGGGCATCGCGACGCTGGGGGCGACGCTCTGGCGCTCCAGCGCTCTGCGGTGTCGTACGGTCCCGTCAAAGGTAGATACACTTCCGACGCTGCGTCACTGCGTCACTGCCGGGAGGCCGGGGAGTCGGCAGACGGCCCGTACGGTTGCGCTGCGGTTTCGGGGCGGCTTCGGGGCGGCTTCGGGACAGGCGGAGGGACGGGCGCAAGCCCGAAGCGGATAGGCTCGGCCAGGGGGAGGGTGGAGGAAGGGTTGAAATTTGATGGAGATGTTATTTGGTGTCGACAGAGCGTGCCCGGCCCGGTCCTAGGCCCCGGCACGGCGCGCCACGCCACGAGGTGGCCCTTGCAGCGAGAATGCCACTGCCAGCTGTGCCGGCGGTGCCGCTGCGGCGCTGGGAGGGCATTTCGGCAGACGTCGCCGGCATGACTTCGTGTTCCCGTCACGTCCGACAGATCCGGCGTCCGGCAGCATCAGGCGCGTCCCCCACCCCCTCCCCCTCCCCCACCTCATGTGCACGTCGCGGTCGCGTCCCTACTGAGCGACGGGATCAGTGCCTGAATTTAGCGACTTGATGTGCCGTCGGGGCGGAAGGGGGGGGGGGGGCTGTCTCCCCGTTGCGTGCGCTGCGCAGCAGTACGCAGTATATGAGGCCGCTCGGACCATTGTTTATTGACGTCGGAGGCATCCCCGACTCGCGCGGGCGTTATTCAGCACTCTGTC